GGGATATTGCAGCAGCGGAAACATCCGCCTCGCACTTTGAGCCCGATGATATTGAGTGGTTCTTACAAGACTCTCATTAGTCTGCGGCATTACTCACCGTCTCTGATCCGGATTTTCAAACTTTCATTATCAAGGTCCATTTTTTCTTTGTTTTTCTTTGATTCTTTTTTTCTTTCCGGTTCCTTCAGCGATCTCATATCCTGGCGTCATAGGATAATTTATCTACTCCGATGAAATATTTTCAAAGCAATCTACCGCAGCGAGATCAATATCACGGTGCTCTAACTAGGCGTTGTACCAAGTGAAATGGATCGGCGCATTGTCCACACCCTTTTTGCTTCTGCCACTCAACCCCTCTTCTTTCAAACTGGGCTGAGGCTGCAGACAGTGACATGGGTTACACCATTTACCCGGCAGTTCCTCGGGAAGGGCTTACTGCGTTGACGACATAACTGGCCCATGGATGCAGGCACCAGTACCAGTATTTATGATTTGTTTGTTCATTTTACTTTCCTTATTTTCCTTTGCCGGACCGGATGGCCCGACAGGTAACTGCGGATGAATGTGCATTTGTTTCACCATCTAATAAGTGGGGGACATATCCCAAAAAATCTGGCATTATTTTACTACTTACTCTTCTGCTTGGCTTTTCTAAACCTTGTAGATTTACACCAATGATCATACGTCCCTTGTGTTAGTTCAACCTTGGACCCTTGGCGAAGCCCAAGGTTGTATAAACAATAACGCCACCTCGTCCGGACAAACCATGATGGCCAGTAATAATGCACGATATGAGTTGGAAGAATACTTACTCCGTTTTGATAACGGACTACTATAACCTAAGCACATTAAAGTATCGTCATCTGTCAGCTGGAAAAAGCAAGTTAGACCCCCGATCAAATAAGAAAACCCCACGATCAGATACCCGAATCTAGCGCCTGAAGAACAGCCCAAGTATGGCACCATCATATGATATAACCTTGACTAAAGCACGGAAAGTCTCATAGCGCCTCCCAGAACGTGTCGGGCCGTAGATGGGTAGAGGGATGCGGTCAAGGACAACGGCCATGACACAGCGCTAGCGTATGCAAACCACGTGGATTCTTGAAATGCAACGTCTACGGCTCTGCACGTCCCGGGGCTCTTATCGGCGGTGAATACCCCGTTTCGGCCAATAGGGCGTGAAGTCACCCGAGTAACGTTGGGCTCAGCTATAGCTGAAGTTATCGGGCTCCTAGTATATTATTATCATTATTTTTTTTTTCAGGATTTGATTCTGTTGTTAATTTGTTCTAAAAACACATAGATAAATACTAGGAGTAATAATAGGCCAGCACTTGCTACTTGGTAGATCTATACATATGGACTACTCCGTACTTCGTATAGATCGTAGTTCAAGTATCAATTCGGGTGGATCGGACGATCACTGGGAACCTTGGAACCATCCCAGTTCTACCCGCTTCCCCGGTGCCCCTTTTCCTTTTTTGTTTATTCTTTTTTGTTTTTTTATTCTTTTTTTTTATTCCTTTTTATATTATTCCCTTGTTCTTCCATATGATACGTACTATGTACCCAGTTTCCCCCTTAAAAGCATCCTAAGATATCCGATCGGTTGGCGCGGATGTAGCTTCCCCGTCCCGATTGGGTGCGGGACAACTTCGGTACTCTGGAAGTTATCCTATTAGTTGGAAACAAGACATATTTGGAATGGTAAGTGGCGAGAATAGAATACAGTATATGTGTATGTAGGAATATGTAGGAATTAAATGCCGTATGCTAGGTCCCGTTCTGATCTGACATCATTAAGTAGATACTTTCTCAAGGGGTAAAAAAAGGAGGGCGCTAATTTCAGCTTGAACCCGTCACAAACGGCTTCACCAATCAGATATGTTAGATATTTCCTCCCTTTTTATTTTCTATGGCGCAAGGCTAAGTGGTCCGATCTCCCGTTAAATTTAGGCTCCAGAAAAGAAGTCGGTGAACGCGTTCCTTGACCTTTAGACGCGTGACCGGTCTTTTTCCGAAGCAAACATCATTTGACAGGGTTTTTATTTTATTTTATTTTATATTTTATATTTATATTTTATATTTAATTTCGGATTTAATAGAGAAATAAGAACAGGGTTTCTAGAAATTTTAATTTAATTTTCTTAGTTGCGTCGTTTATATAAAGCCTTTGCTGTCCGTCTATTTGACTTTAATCAACCACTTCAAAGCCCTTTGAGCCCCTGAGAACTATATCATTTACATCTCTCTACTTTACCCATTCACTATGGACAAGCCTAAGACACCCAAGGAGGAGCCCCAAGAGAAGATTGAAGACCAGGGCAGGGCTGTTGAAGAATACCAGAAGAAATGGGACCAGATGCTTCAAGATACCGCAAAACAGATCGACAAGATTCGAGGTGAGTTCAACTCTGCCACATATGCAAAGGAGAGAACTGACAGCTATCATAGAAAATGAACTAGCGAGAAGATCAAATAATAATCAAGCTGAACAGCGTTGATTAATCTTCTTGTTGAAACCGTCTATGCAAGGGTTTATTGGAAACTGAGCTTCTGATGCTTGCTTTTTTTTTCACTTCTTTTCTTTTCTTTTTTTTTTCACTACGGATGATGAGAGCATTGGGGATGGGATCAGAGGGTGTTTTTTTTGGGAGTACATTATACCTTGAAGCTTTCACTTTTGACAAGGCATGAGAATTCAATTTTACATTTTAAAAGACGTGGACTCTTTATGGGATGTAAACAAAAAAAAAAGGAAAGAGAGAGCCTCAAGTGAGGTGGCACTTACCCTGGATGATGGTTCCCAAAATATCAAGGGACCCTTTGATATTTTGATATTTTTGATATTCTGCAATCTTATCCTTTTCAGCTTACTCCGTATGCATGTCATGGATGCCGCTAATGACCAGGTCACCCAATCCTTGTAGGTTGTCCCAAAACGGTAGGAGACATATCCTGACATCCACTAGACCACTTGACGTCGTGGCTCACAATGCCACCGTGATACTGAGCGGTGTGCTTCTGGGGGCACTGCTTGCGTTCGCTGTTTCTCACCTACGCTGGCTGCGCCACCATGTCCCTCTGGATGACCACTTGGTCGACACAATCTTTCCACTGGGACTGGATTTCTGTTTCTTTATCTTACCTTTGTGGATAATTCTGATACTACCTTATGCTTCACGACTTCGTGGTATGCATATTACAATCCTGTGAAGGCAACCAATCTGACTTTATCAGCATTCATAAGGGAAAATGTTCCTACCCATCATGAACTTCCGGAGCATGTCGTCGAGACCCAAACCCCTCAAGTGACCCAGACACCATGAGATATTGAAGGACAAGGTTGAACTTCACCTGTACTCCTGTTTCAGAATATGCAGTCAAATGGATATTAAAGAATCATACAATGCCCATTGTAAAGAGATCGGTGTAGAGGCGATTAGGGCTGGCGGCAAAAGCGCCAACGGAGAAAAAGCGGTCTCCACATCTTTCCTTTTTGGGCTTTTGCTTTTCCTTTTGTCTTCCTCAATTATTAACGTAGACCTACACCGTTACACCGTCAACTCAAATACCCCCTTACCGACTCTATTTCTCTTTCTGACCTGCCATCATGTCCGCCGATCTCGACCAAAACCCCTCCCCCGCCGACCTAGCCGAACGCGAACGCGAGAACAAGGAGCGCAAGGCACGCGAGGATGCGGAACAGGCTCAGCTTCCCTACAAGTGGACACAAACTATTCGTGATGTGGATGTGACAGCACCAATTCCTAGTAATATCAAGGGCCGGGACTTGGATGTGTTGTTGACCAAGAACAAAATCCGCGTCGCGATCAAGGGACAAGAACCCCTCATTGAGGTAGGTCAACTGTTCCCCACTCATTTTCGGAGATTGCACCGTATACTCTAAATCAACACATCAACTCAATCAGAGGCTAACTACCCCATTTTCCGATTTAGGGTGACCTTCCCCACGCTATCCTCGTCGATGAATCCTCTTGGACCCTCGAGACCACCCCCACCCCGCCCGGAAAGGAAATCAATCTCCACCTTGACAAGGTCAACAAGGTCGAGTGGTGGCCTCATGTTGTGACCACCGCTCCCAAAATCGATGTCACCAAGATTACGCCTGAGAACTCCAGCCTAGGCGATCTGGATGGCCAGACTCGCGCCATGGTCGAGAAGATGATGTATGATCAGCGGCAGAAGGAGATGGGTGGCCCCAGCAGTGATGAGCAAAAGAAGATGGAATTGCTGAAGAAGTTCCAGGCTGAACATCCCGGTAAGTTGTTATTGTCCTTCATCTCTTGGTCACTTCGCCACAATCCCTTGCAGCGAGTGTATTCTTCCGTTTTGCTATGTTGCTAACGTGCGGTTTTGCAGAGATGGATTTCTCCAATGCTAAGATGGGCTAAACCCACTAGGATTCAGCGATATCTAACCCTTCGTGCTCTATGCAAGCAAAATATCAATATATGAAGTATGAGTTATGCGCATCGATGGTCTTCGATGAATGATGAATTGCATGGCGTTTCTCGAATTCAATTTCCAAGGCTTACTATGGATCTCCGGTTTATATATTACTCAAAGTAGTTGCCTTTTATTCAGTTTTGTCAGTTTCGTCAATTTCGTCAATTTCGTCAATTTCTTGTCTGGTCATTCTGCCAAGCAACAAATACGAGAATTACCATATCGGGGATAGCGCCCGGGCGTTCATCGATCTTCCCTTTCGCCCCGTATTCTCCCTCACCACATGGGTTCTCAATCTATTTGGACGCAAGTGATCGGGCTGATTAGAACAAGGCGCAGCTTTGCAGATTTGAGCCTCCACTAATTGCATTGCACCCACCCTAGGATTTCGGCCACAAAACTATATTCAAACCCAATATCTTACTGCCTTAGACGCCCGAGGCTTAGTGGTATAAGCCTCAGCGTACATTTGATTAAATCGACCGTCGCCGAATGTTTCTCCAGGTCAAATTTATACTCTGAACAAAATGGACGATATGCAGCTCAAGACCCAACCCCGGTCACACTCGTCTAGGCGCATACCGGGACAGAATAAGGCCTTCCGAGTTCCGAACTACAAATCAAAGGATTCCTTAGCGTGTGGGTCTGAACCACCTGCACAGGTCTATCATTCCCGCCGGTCTCATCGGAAATCTCGCGCCGGCTGTGTGAACTGTAAGCAACGAAGAGTCAAGGTACTTAAGGCGTCCCCATTATCATCTACTGGCTGCTAATGATCTATCAAGTGTGATGAGGCTAAACCTCATTGTATTCGATGTCAAAAACATGGCATCGAGTGTGACTACTCGAGCCAGCCAGCCCGACCTCAAAAGACGAATAATGTCGTTTCCAAATTCATCAATGCCAACCCCGAGTTGACACCGATTGATTCACTAGCCTCTTCAATGTCTCTGATGATGGTCGCGGATAGGCTGAAAGAATTACTGCACTCACCCTCCGGTACCAAGATGCCGAGATTACTCACAGATGCCACAGCATCAACCCGCACTATGGAAGCATTGCATCATTTCCACAAAGCCCCAGCCTTTGCAACCGGAAGCGACGCACCTATTCGAATAGTAATGGGGAAAGTGGTTGAACTTGCCTTCGAAGTAAGCCCCCGGCCATTCATACATAGTTTATCTAAACCACCCTCCCCTATATCCACTAGCCATACTATACCTCAAAGACAACCATATGACTTAATACAACTCAAACTAACCCCAATCAACCCAGACACCCTTTCTCATGCACGCCATAATAGCATCCGCAACAACCCACCTCTGCACTCTCCTTCCAGACAACAAAGACTACCGCCTAGCAGAAGCCTACCACTGGCAACAAACAATAAACCAATACTCCGCCGAATTCTCCAAAAACATAACCCGCCAGAACATGGACCAGCTCTACTCCGCCTGCATGATGATCAGCATGCACTCCTTCCTCCAAGAAACCTTCAACCCGCACACCTCCTTCGTCTTCACCACAGACCCAACAGCCCTAACCTGGCTCCGTCTCCAAGCCGGCCTACGCTACCTCCTCGAGCGCACGGTCCCCTGGCTCCCACAGAGCATGTGGTGGACAGTATTCATGGAGTCACGGGATCCATCCCTGGACTTCGAGGATAAACGTCCTGGCCGTGTTGATCTTGATCCGAATTTGGCGGATCTCTGTGGGATTGGGGATGATTCGACTGTCGAGTCGAATGCGTGTTTGTGGCCTTTGCGTATGCTTATGGGGTTGTTGCCGTTTGAGAGGACGACGGAGAGTTTTAAGGTTTATAATACTTGGATGGGGAGGCTGGAGAATCCATTCTATGAATGTTTGCTTAGGAAGGAGCCGGGTGCGCTGGTTTTGTTGGCTTGGTGGTTGGGGCTTATGTGTTATGTTGAGGAGTGGTGGGTTGAGATGAGGGTTCGGTCGGAGTGTACGGCTATCTGTATGTTTCTGGAGGATAGTTGTGATCCGCTGGTTTTGAAGTTGTTGGAGTTTCCGGCATCGTGTTGTGGGTATTTGCTTAAGCATGAGCAAGAGAGGGCTAGGGTTTTGGAGTTGGATTGATATTGATATTGGTTTGGGTGAATTTGGTGTTGGATTTGTTGTATTATACCCCTTTCCCTTGGCTGGTTGTCTATCTAGAGGCGGTTTTGTCGAGGTTAGTAGCGATAAAGGTAGATGCGAAGCATTTGATTCGACAAAATGTCTATAATGTATTCGGTTTATCGTAATTTGGTACACTATGTATGCCTGCCAGGTTGCGAGCGTGTACCAAGGTAATATCCTCCTGCGTCCATGACAGGCGAGTATGTGCATGTCAGTATTAAGTATCCAAAGCTATCCCAGAAGAAATCCCCTTCTGCACCAAGTTCCAATCATATCATAAACATTCGATCAGTTTCCGTAAATGATTTCGTCGCGTCATGTGCAATAAAAAAGTACCAAAAGAAAAGGATAAGCAGAAATGAGAGCAATGCAGCAATAATGCAAAAAGGAAATTAAGTCCACAATGGACGATTCCAGATCGCCCAGATCAAGAGATCGTGGTGAAAAGATATTACACAGGCAGCTGATAAGCAAAGGGTAGCAAGCAAACATTCTTTTCGCGATTATTAAATGAGGCTGTATCACCGGCTCTCCCAAGAGGCTCGCCGGTGACGGCGAATCGACCGGTCGTCCTCCTCAGAGTATGTAGGTCCAGTCCGCGAGCCGTTCATGCGGGCAGCGGGAGGCGGATTAATGATGACCGCCATAGCGGATGAAATGGACATGGACCGCGAGCGACACAGCGCTGCGGAGTGACGGGGTGAGTACGGCGGTGGCGGAGTCTCCCTCGTTGCGGTGGAGGTATTGCCGTAGCTACTTGGAAAGGAAATAGCCGATGAACTATCGGAGGTTACATCTTCGTCGTAACGATTGGCGTTCTTTTCGTCATGGGGGTAATAATTTTGGGATTCGGAGGAAATAGATGGGTCACGCATATGTGCCTCTAAAGTTTTCTCGTGGAGGCTCATTGGGCGGGCTGTGTACTGCGGGAGAGGGACCACGCTAGAATAGCCCCCATCCTCCGAGTCAGACGGCGGGGGTCCGTGCCCATGGCCCCCGGCTGGAGAGGCTGAGCGGAAGAATTCGCCTTCCGCAGAGAGGGTAAAGCTTCCTGTTTGAGTGCTGTTGGGGTTGGGTCTTTGAGTCATCATCTCTGGGGATGAATGGGACTTTGAGGGCCTCTCATCTTGGGTGAAGCACCCGCAAAGTGCCGAGAGGAAAGACATAGCCGAAGAGGTGTCTGTGTTCTAATTGACAGTGTGCAAGCCAATAGACTTGACTATAGCAATGGGAAATTGGCCCGTGAGCACTGTAACAAGAAACAGCTCCGGACAAGAACTATCGTATGAGCACTTCGGCTGTTGAGCCTCAAACGCGATAGTGGGCTGAACCCCACTTGCCTCGATAAACCCCACCTGAGCCGACAAACAGAGAGACTTGGAATGAGATACGAATTTAGAGAAAGAGATGCTCATATAGAGAAAGGAAAAGAAGAAATGAGGGGTGAAAGAAAGGCCAGATGAGAGCTGACCCGGGCAAGGCACCCGCAGGCATCAAGATTCCCAGAAACTCTAATTGGCTGCCGATAAGATAGCAAAAATGCCTGAGGCATCAACATCCAGTCATCCAAGGTTGTCTTGGAATGAGTGTAATATTGCCTCATTTGCAAGAAATGGCGGGCCTTCCTTGGAGCCTGACTCGCAGCATAGTATGCCAGGCAGTGGTAGGGTTTGCTAGGTTTTGCAGGCTGACATCGTGATGAACGAGGTGATATGCAAGCTACCAATATTTCTGAAACACCATTGGGTGTCCATTGGCTCCAAGTTAGTTTTGCCATAGGAGAAGCTAGCCAAAAGAGCAAGGATTACTGTAGTTCATTAGGAGTTGACAAATAAACATAATAATAAAAAGGATATCTGCTTGAACAAAGTTCGATGAGTCTCATTGAGTTCCACGTGTTCTTCTGCATTATTAGCCCAGTTGATAGCACTCACAGCTACTTGATCGATCTCCCACGATGTATGAGAAGGGAATTCCTATTGCTCTCTCACTAGAGCATCTTATGGTCGTTGAAGTGTCCACATAGAAAAACCGATAAGCGATAATCGATAAGATCGGAAAGATAAATCAGGCGGTGTATTAAAGGTCATTTTTTATTGGTTGGAATTTTAAGTGGGTTGAGGGGCAAGAAAGTTTGTGGGCAGAATATGGTCATGTGACCAAACGCCCCCACCAATCGTGTCGCCGCCTGTATTTTTTTTGTTCTCCCCGCCTTCTCCTCGACGATCACTTGAGCGATAAGATTTTCTTTCCACGCCTAATTCCAAATCTTGAGTCAATTGGCACTACCAATTTCTTCCGATATCATGACCGTCGATCCCAGTATCGAGGAAGTGACACAGCGTGTCGAGCCTCCTCAGGCCGACCCCAATCGTCCCCAAGATCCCACAAATAGCATGAAACGGACCGATCCCTTTCAATTCGGCTCACGATACCTTGAAAAGGGCGATGATGTTTTTGAGTTCAATGCTTGGGACCATGTCGAGCCAGATGACGAGTTTAAGGCATTCGCCGAGGCCCAATATGCGAAACAGCGCGAAACACGCTTATCGGAATTTGATCGCAACCGATTCAACACCAACCCCGCCAAGTGGTGGGACATTTTCTATAAGAACAACACAGCCAACTTCTTCAAGGACCGAAAGTGGCTACGCCAAGAATTCCCTATTCTGGCTGAAGTGACACAGAAGGACGCCGGTCCTCAGGTCGTCCTGGAGGTTGGCGCGGGTGCTGGAAACACTGCCTTCCCATTGCTGGCCAACAACGAGAACGAGCACCTGAAGGTTCACGCTTGTGATTTTTCCAAGTATGCTGTGAAGGTCATGCGCGAGAGCGAGCTCTACAACGAGAAATACATGTCCGCTGATGTCTGGGACGCATCTTCTGTGCCTGATGAGAACGGCGACTCTCTTCCCCCCGGTCTGACAGAAGGCTCAGTCGACGTTGTGATTCTAATCTTCATCTTCTCCGCCCTTGCTCCTAACCAGTGGGACCATGCAATCCGCAATATTTACCGTCTCTTGAAGCCCGGTGGCCGTGTGTTGTTCCGCGACTACGGCCGTGGTGACCTTGCCCAAGTGCGATTCAAGAAGGGTCGATACATGGCTGAGAATTTCTACATTCGAGGTGACGGCACACGTGTTTATTTCTTCGAGAAGGACCAGCTCGTCGACATGTGGGGTACCTGGAGCGCAGAAAAGGGCTTGCAGATTCCCATTGGTGATGAGAACCCCACGGAAGAAGGGTCCGAGGAAAAGACAGATGAGGCTCAGTCCTCAGAAGAGCCATCTGCAGAGGCCAAACAATTGGCAAAGGAAAATGGAGCATTTGAGATCCTCAAAATGGGAGCTGATCGTCGGCTGATTGTCAACCGTGGGACCAAACAAAAGATGTACCGCTGCTGGATGCAGGGTAACTTCCGGAAGCGCGGTGGACCTGAGATTCAGGCTGAGTCTGCTACTGAGAGTAGCCAGTAAAATCCCGAATCACCAGTTCTGCGATGGCCATTCCGGATGGCCAAAAATACTCAAAGTCTCAACCAAAGATAAGAGAATTATTGTCTATCGATACGTACGGTTGTGACAGTCTTTCCCACCGTCCAAGTTGATCTCGGGATTTTCGCCATGTGTGGACTCGCACTGTGTTTTAGGTGTTTCTTAAATACTTACTACGCCGAGATCAACATACCGTGCTGTTGGGCCATTCCCAGTGGAAAAGCCGAGGTAGCACCCTTAGAGCCACGGGGGAATGGCTTGGGTTGCTATTTATATAGGGCAATGCCATGATGGCGTTATGAATGTACGACACACATTAGATCATGTCATTTAATTTGCACATACAGTCAAGGAACAATGCCTACCATGTAGAGAACCATCGTAAGATGCTGATGGAGAAGGTCAACTCTTGCATCTATTCATATAAACCATATAGCAAGAGGATGCATCCACGAATGGTTAAGCCTACATGGAATTCGGAAGGGTAAATAAACATACTAATTATGCAGCTGATAGCAATTCGGCATAGTATTAGATAGATGCTTTAAATGGCCTTCAATTTTAAATGGCCTTCAATTGGTCCCAAGCAAGCTGCGCTGTAGCCACCAAAATAAGGCTTTGTTTCCTCGTTCTTCATATGAGATCAGGCCGGAGCCTACAGATCTCAGCTTTTAACAACACCCAGAGGTTTTCAATTGGATTTAAATCCGGATTCACACCTTTACGCCCTGATTCCAGATCTCCAAATAGTGAAATCAACCTAGTACGATGTATAGGGCCGGAAAAAGCAGCCTAAAATATACACTTAACCTACTTCCCTTTTGTGGTGATCCTTAGCATTGTCATTCTTTTAGCTGGTCCTTCGGAGGGATAAAAGTCCATTCTCGATGTATACTAATCCCACGCTCAACCGTACACTCGTCAGACCAAAAACACGGGCCCAATCCTTAGGTGTAAAGTGCTAATAGCGTATAGCCCAGCGGAGTCGTTTTAGCGCGTTTTCTCCAGTTGAATAGGACCGTTAGCTATATCTCCATTTCTCGAGGTTCTCCGCATTTAAAAGATTGAGTCGATTTTCACTTTATGAGATATCTCAGGAAGAAGGTCTTCGCAGGTAACATGTATAAGTACATACATAACATAATTTTGTGCACACCCTGTATCTAAACAGATGGAATGGCGCTAATAGGGGTAAAAAAGAGAGACACTGATGTTATGTGCAAGCCAATGCTCTAAGAATCGAAGAATAGAAAATCAAGATGAACTCCATCCATGCAGGCAAAATGGGCATCAACGGTGATAAATCTCCCGTAGAAAGAGATAGAAAATTTCGTTGCAAGGGAGCATAGGAAGTCATGACCTGCAGTAAGCTGCAAGCTTAGTCTAATCGCGGTATGTTGAAAAGCGAAACTATGTACCACATGATATTTGTTCATGAGCAAAAAGCAAAGAGCAATCAACAATGCAGAGAGATGTATGAGTGTATGTTGTATAATGTTTTCACAGTGTCATATTCGGACACTCGCCTTGAGCTCGTTGGAAGGCTCCTGCGAACAAGTCCTGCATGGCGTGGTAGTGGAAAAAGATACCACCCAGAACAGCCAGGTGCCAGATATTGTGGCTGCCACCGACGTAATCGAAAAGACCTGGCTTCCAGCGCTCAGGAACCTTAGAGGCGTAGACACAGGCGCCAACGAAATACACTAGGACGCTCTTCATGACTGGTGCATAGAAATACATAGTCCAAGCGAAGCCACGTGTATAAGAGAGCTGAGCTATGGGCGAGAAACCAGTGAGTGCAAGGGTCACATAGAAGCCCACGCGGGCCCAAGCCATATCGTGGCGGTTGAAGGTTGGGTGCCACGGTAGAATGATGCCACCGACGCCAAGTGACATGGTAAGTAGAATGTATGTCCAGCGGGAGAGAGGCTCGCAATAGAAAGCAGTGTATTCAGTGGTCACAATCGAGGCAGCAACCAGCATAGAGATACCAGTGTAGTCCACACAAGCGAATCGTTCCATCAATGACTGCGAAGCAATACTGTTCATAGTATGCCAAATACAGCTGCAAACCAGGCATTTGCATGCAGCAAAGAAGAACACGGCAGCAATTGTGATGTCGGATTTGGAGCTCAGGTGGAAATTGGTATGAAGCGGGTAGAAGTAAAAGGCGATGGCTAGGACAATGACGAGGCCGATAACATGGGACCAAATGTTGAACATTTCATTCGAATAAGCGAAGACCGACGACACACATTCCACCTTGGAAGTCGTGAATCGGTAGCCGTTGATGATGTGTGGGTTGACGCGCCATGGATGAGGCAGTTCATCGTAGTTGATCAGTCGCTTCTCCTTGGCTAGTCGGATAGCCTCTTCGACAGTATCTCGGAGAGTATCACGAGTACGGCGAGCACGTTCCATACCCTCGTCAACGATTTCCCGGGCATGAACCAAGCCTGAATCCATCGCTTTCCACCCGTCATCGATAGTACCGTAGATACCGCGATCGCGAACCGCATGCACTTTGTTCTCAAGTTCGACCAAGAATGACTCCATTAGCCGCACACCAGCTTGCGCCTTTTGCTCTAGAGTCTCTTTGGTCGCTAGCGCTTCGTTGTATCCATCCTCGAGGGTTTCGACCAGAATCTTGGCTCGCTTTTTGCCACTTCCCATCAACTCCCCCGAGGCGAGGGAGCATTGATCCCTCACAGCCTCCAGCGTAGCATATCCTCTTTTTAGACTGGCATCGACCTGCATCATATGCGATTTCCGGTATTGCTCGATCCATTGCATTCGACGTTCCAGTTCGGCCAAAAAGAGTTCGACCTATAAACTAAATTAGACACACTGTTCCCTATTGATCATACCAATACTGCCATGTACATACCCTAATAAAGACTGCATCTGCATCTTGATAGTCGCATGAGAGTTTTCTAGAAGAGTGGAACGAATGTCGGCGCCGATCACGAAGAATACCAGTATCCCCGTCTTGAGTCGCAACAGCAGAGGCAAATGCCTCTGCTTCGGGATAAGTCTCCACTGCCATTGAAGAAGTGCCGCAAGCCATTGGGTGTAGTTGAGAACCCGTCCAGCCTCAATGGAATGCCATACAGTTGTGAGAAGGGGGGGAATAAGCGTTGAGAGGCAAGGGCGTCGGAGAAGTATCGGGAGGCGTAGAATAATTCAAACAAAGCCTCAAAGCCTCAAAGCCTCAAAGCCTCAAAGCCTCAAAGCCTCGAAAAAATCTTTTAAAAACAAGGAATGAGGGGCATATAGAAGAAAGGATTCAAGAAAGAGAAAGAAAAAGAGGGGAATGGAGAATGTACCGGTTAAATTGGGGGGGCGCTGGGGGAAAAAAAAGAGCCAAGAAGCCCGAGGTCCCCAACCGCACAAAATCCCCGAAGCACATTGAGGCGCCTAATGTCCTGATTGATCCATTCCACCTCAACCTCTTATTTCCTTTTCCGCTTTATCTTTCGCCACATTCATCGGATCTTCATATCTTTAGATCTTTACATTTTTTTTTACAATATGGGTATCAGTGAAATCGTCGCCGATGAGTCGCTTTTACCAGTGCTTCAGACTAGCGCTGAGACTCTGGTCCAGTGCCAGCACCTCCTCACCATATTAAATCCCGATACTCTGCCCAATGATAGCGCCGAGCTCCGAGAATTATCCTTAGCGGTATCCAAGCAACAAAAACGCCTATTCGCACTATTGGCCCAACTCCGTGGCCAAAATCGAGATGCCATCTTTCGCGTGCGTGACACGAAGCAATCAACTGCAGAAGCTCGACAAGAAATTGACCGGCTACATCTTCAACTTCAGAACTTGTACTATGAACAGAAGCATCTGACTGGCGAAATTGCCGCTTGCGAGGCCTATGAGTACGTAAATTCAATTTCCTACCCATGACGCTCTCATATTCCCTTGGCGGACAACTGACTGTAACAGTCACAAATATTTATCCCTCCCTTTGATCCCGGTCGAAGAATTCTTGGAGCTCCACCCCGAACATCGTGAATCTAGCGAGCATGACCTCATGATCGCCCGCATCGAACATGAGCATGCTGAACGAGAGAAGCTGGAACAAGCGCGGCAAGAGCTTCTGAAGCGCAAGCAGGGCTTGATCGCAGAGAATAAGAAAAGGAAGAACGACCTTGCCAACCTCGACCAAGATCTCGAAAAGTTCATTGATGTATGTTATCCCCCTCCAGTTCTGCTATGGGTTTGCTAATAAGTTTCATGATCTCTAGGCTGCTAAGCCGATTCAAAGGATCTTCGAGAAGGAATACTAGACATTGCATGTGGAAGTACAGCGGTGAAGGCCTGGCCTTTTGACTGCTACATTGGATCGGCGTTACTGGTCAATATACCCTTGTTTTTTTGTGATTTCAAGATACTTCAAGTCGATAAATGACATAATGGGCCTTATGGTCTTTCTTTAAAAAAAGCGCTAGATTGTATGCGAAGTCCGAGAGCGAGCTGTATAGTGCAAATAAAGCACATCTAAAGCAATTAAATAATAGATCATGAAACAAGTTCAAATCAATGAATATAAATCCCAATGTCGCATATAGTTGACTTGTGTCCGATGCGGCGTAGGTGGTCCCTGGCTTCTCCGCCCGGCTATCAACTTCCCCCGAGTCAACAATCGACTTGATAAACACTTACTCCTTTGATGCTCTGATTTAGAGCACAAAGCATGTCCCGACTATGACGATCAAAACAGGAGACCAGGAGTCTCCTCAGGCTTCGGCCTCTCAAGTCGACCAACCCAGCGTCCAGCGCGCTCCACCCCCAGAAACCCCGGCCGCCCTCCAAACGCGATTTCGAGTGATAGCAGCCTTTTGGGCTGTAATTATATTCCTTGGATTTCCGATATGGTGGAAGACAACATCGATCTACCGGGCATCTCTCCCCATTGAGGAAATGGTGGATTGGGCTGATGGCAAGGTACGAGTTGCGAAATCGCTTTTGGGTTTGGTGACTTAGTAGATGCTAATAATGGTCTTGACAGGCGTGCCGACCAGTGTTCCCTTTGGAAATTCACCTTGCGACACCTTCAATGCAATACTTTGAGGCCCAGCACCTCCTCCGTACGACACAACATACTCTCGATGATCTCAACGAGTTCGCAGCACATCACCTTCGACTTAAGTTGACCAACGGCACCACGGCGGTTCATAATGGCGAAGATAGCTTGGAAAATGCCACTCCCGCGGAAGAGACAGCGGATATTGCATTGACCGTCCGATTATTGCCTCGGGATGACCTAGCAAGCCCTCGGTCAGAGCTCCATGCAGCTACGACGCAGCTTGATATCTTCTACCCGCCGAGCCAGGTTCCCGTACCTTCCTCCTCCAATTCCCCCCTATCCACTTTCATTGCAGCGGAGCTGCAGCGATTGTATGGCGAGGAAAAGGCTACTATAGCCCACATCTTGTCTGGAAATACCGCTGGGCTTGACTCGACCTCACCACAACTCGCCGAAGATATCGACCGAAGATTGCGCCGATCGATGAAGTATGCTGAAACCTACCACCTCTCTTTTTCACTGTTCACCCCTAGATCTGAACCTTCCTCGTGGGACATTGAGGCTGCCGTGAAGGAATATGTCACCCCCCTCCTACAGGCATTGTCTCCTATCAGTAATTTCACTGTCGACACCCAAGTACAGCTCTATGCGAACTTTGCACCCACTGCGCCGAAGCCTGAGTATGATGAATCTGAGGCGGCATGGACACTGAAGAAAGAAGGTCTAAGTGCCTTCGTTAATGCTGCTGAGTGGCCTCTGAACCCGAGTATCGGCAATGGCCCGACGATCAATTTCATCCTCTATGTCCCAGACCCTTCGCAGTCTCCGCTCATTGTCAAGGAGAACCGTGCTTCAAGTTGGATGGTTCCCCAATGGGGCGGAGTTTTCCTCCTTAACCCGCCGCTTTCCAATACCGAGCAGGGTGACCGGTCCAATCCTTCCCATCTCTCCCAGGACTCTTTAGGCCCTGCATTCATGACATTTTCTCATCAACTCCTCACCCTCCTTGGCACTCCAAGTACACCGGCCTCCCTCCCACTCCGTCTTCAGACATCTATCCGCATTCGCGCGGCCACTTTGTTGCTCTCCGCCTCATCAACAATGGGCTCGCTTGCCCGTCTTACTGAGTCTTTGCCTTCTATCCCTATTCCAGCAACCGTGGCTACCTCGGTCTCTACCACTCTCTCTCATCTGGCTGCCTCCTGTGCCCATTTGCGAGAGGGTCGTTTTGGCGCCGCGCTTGCCAGCGCCAGAGTCGCGGAGACAGAAGCTGAGCGCAGCTTCTTCGAGAAGAGTATGGTGGGTCAGGTATATTTCCCAGATGAGCATAAGGTGGCGGTTTATCTGCCCCTTCTGGGACCGATTGGTGTCCCTCTTGTTGTTGGGTTGCTCAAGGAGCTCAAGAGAATTGCCGCTCGACGCAAGGCGACGGGGACAGCATCGTAGAGTAATACAAGCTTTCGATATTTATGTATTCTAAAGGTTATATACACACCAATTGAAACTATTCTTCCTTTTGATGGCAGATCTATCTATGGGCGTCTTGGAGATAAGACTCCCCTTCGAGGCATACATCTAGTAGACTAGTCTTGCATATAAAGCGGCTCACAATTTCAATTAGATGGAGAATTAACCAGGTATCTAAACCGGTGGAACAAAACTTTCAAAACAAAGTGAAAAACAATGCAAATATGGATATCATAGTACACGATCAATATGCCAGAACAATAAAATGTCTAAACCAAGGCTTCTGAACGCACACCTCAACCCAAGTAGCTCCTATCCCATTATTAATGTCCAGGATCCCTGAACGGATTTTCCCGAGAATCATCATGAGCCGGATAAGGCGTATTCCCGTTACCATCATTAGGATTCCCAACAACCCGCATCAGACCGCTGTATGTGGTATCCGGCCTATCGGACGTACCAGGGTACGGCGCTGGGTGCAAAAAAGTACGCTGCGGAAACGACGATTCAGGCGGTGAATACACCTTGATACTTTCCATACTCGGCTGACGCTGTCGTGGCGGAGTAAACGGAGCTGCTGGCACAGGGATAGGGATCGGCGGCACATCCTTGTCTAGTCTGGGGTTTCCTCTTGGATAACCGGAGAACAGACTTCGCACTCTACTGCCGGTGCGGTGAATCACCGTGCGAGTGGAGCGTGCTCCTGTAGAAGAGCGTTTGGATCGCGGTGGGCTTCGGAGGAAGTCTGTGCGGTAGGAGGTATCGTCTTGGGGTATGGGGTTTGAGATGCATAATATGGCGCCGGATGAAGAGCGTTCGGACCAGTTAGGCCCGGATTTGCCTTCTTGGATTTCGCACTCGTCTTTTTTTGCGCATCGGAAACAGAGAGATATTAAGAGGGCGGCGACAGCGCCGAGGACTGCTCCCGGGAAGAACCCGGCTGCTATAGCGCCAGGTGGGAAGGAGGGGCATGAGGTTGATGCTTCTGCTATTGTGGAGTTTGCGGACTTCTCGGATGAGGGGGATGGTACGGGTGTGATGGTTGCCTTAAGGGTTGCTGAGCTTGTAGCCGTTGTTGATGACGATGCGTTAGTGGAGGAGCTGGATGTAGATGACATAGCCGTTGTCGATGATGTTGCTGTGTTGGTAGAGGAGATGGATGCAACCGCAGATGCTGTTGTGGAGGTCTTTCGGTCTAGGAAGCAAGTGTTGCCTCCTTCACAGGTGTAGCCAAACGGACAGCATGCATCGCCGCATTTTGGAAGGCTGTCGCCCAGACGGGTAGTCTTAATGACGCTTTCAGGGTAGAGGGCGACATTCTGTAGCTGTATATCACATGTAACGGGCGAGATGTAGTTACAATCTTGACCGGCGGGACAGCAGATGGAGGAGCTGCCCTGGTCTAAACTGATGCAGGTGGAGTCTGAAGGACAGCAGAAACCATTTGAGGTCTTCGTACTACCGCAGCGACTGTATGAGGCGGGACACGCATCTGAGTCTCTTGCAAGAAGATCGAAAGAGCTATGTGCTTGTCCTGGTCGGATGCTGGCCATCAGAGTCAAGAGCAGCAGAATGGATGGCCGTATCACTGTTGACCTCGTCATATTGGTAGTGGTGTGCGTGTAGACCAAGAAAGAAAGAGATATATTGATAATCAAATCTAGGAGAGATTCGCCAAAGGATTATAGACTGATAGCGTCTTTGACAGTATCTTCACGTAAAACGCAAGCCTAGGTGTAAGTAGAAAGATCAACACTGGAGAGAACCTTGACAGAGGTAGATTGAAAATAGCCAGCAAATAGCTAACAGACAAGGGCATTGACTTAAGTCTGAAACGTAAATATGTCAAAGAACCAGGATATGTCATTCTTCAAAGGCCCCAGGGCACTGCCATCCTCTAGGTCTTGTAGACAAAGAGCATTGCACGCGCCCAGGTCCTAAAATAGGCACTGGGCTGTTTCAGAGTGAGTATCAACATGATAAAAATGGAAGCAATACGGGCGCTAAGGAATAATCTTTGTTGCAGAACCACATTAGTCCAGGGTATGCAGAACGAGGATTGGGTAAAGGCCCAAGGATGCAGAAGAGTACAAGGCGCTTAGAGATGAAGTAGATTTGAACGTTATGATTGGCTGAATGGCCAGGGGTCTTACATAACCACACTAGTCCCGATCGGGCAGAACGTCGGGAGGGAAATTCTTCGACGTCGAAGCTCTCACGATTAACCCGACCATTCACAGTGCCGCTCGTCATGTTCAGCCGATTCGCCAGGCCGCAAAGCGCTTTGCGCGCAGCCTCCTCTTTCTCCCCAGTGAGACTCACTTCCTCCGTCGCCAATCCGCTCTGACTGACCGCGTTTTGTCCAGAAACCTACCTCCGCCTTCTCACGCTTCCAGACTCGTGCTATCCATCGCATCCCCCAATTGCAGCACGACACCTACTATAAGGAGAATGGTATCCCGGAGTTCATGTCGCCTGAGGCGTTCGACTTCTCCTGGACCCAATACCAGACTCTGCTCGTTAACAAACTCAATCTGTTGACACAAGGTGAGCCCGACACTCCGACCCTGTGGAACGATACATTGGTCGAATTCGGTCCCAATCGGTCGATTGAGCGATATGCCACATTGGAAGACGGATCTGACATTCAAATTCAATAGATACCGTCGACGCAGATGCCAAACCAGGAGAATTGCTGGTCAAATACTCTAAGCGTCCGGAGATGGCCTCGGTGTTCAACTATGCCTCAATGGCCCACAACAACCACTTCTTCTTCAACTGCTTGGTTAGAAACACCAATCCCTTCGTATATGCCATCAAATCCTAACCAGTCCCAATATAGTCCCCCACAGCCACCACCATCCCCGAGAAGTTCGCCAAGGACATCGTCGACACCTGCTCCTCCGTCGAGTCCCTGAAGATGGATTTTTTGGCCACAGCAAGCTCAATGTTCGGCCCCGGATTCGTGTGGCTCGCCAAGAACCTCGAGCGCGAAGGCATGATGCACATCTTCTGCACCTACAGCGCCGGCTCCCCCTACCCAGCCGCCCACTCCCGGCGGCAACCCGTCGATATGGCCACCCACACCCCGGAGACCCAGCTGGGCAACCAGTTCGCCGGATCGATGGGTGCCCACGCCCAGAACCAGAAGAGCCTCGCTCCCGGCGCCGTTGATGTGCAGCCCATCCTCTGTGTTAATACCTGGGAGCACGCGTGGATGATGGACTACGGTATTGCCGGCAAGGACGAGTACCTCGAGCGCTGGTGGGATCGGGTTAACTGGGATGTGGTCTTCGACAACTACAATGCTGTCGGCTCGATGAGGGGCTCGCGCAACTCCATGAACCGTCATCGGAGTATGAGCATGCTTTAAGAAAATCATTTCTGTGTCTGGATAATCTGTATTATATACTATCATGTTTTATTTTTTTTGGTCTTGCTCATTCTCACAGGCTTCTGATTGAGCATGTACAGCGATCCAATAGAATCAATTGGCGATGCTTATATTTCCAAAGGTACCAAGTTTGCGTAGTGTTATACATGCAATACCCAAAACTCCACTAATATACAAATCCAAACCATACACCATCACTGCCCTTTACCCTCAACCTCCCGCATTCGCTTCTCAAATGCCTCAATCATAACCCCAGCCATCTGCCCCTCAACAGAACTCATAATAGTAGCATGCATCTGCGAACGGAATTCAAACCGCACCTCCAAATTGACCTTCGTCAACGGTCCCTGCGTCCCCGAAAGTGGCACCAACTCCCACCTTGTAGTAAGATACTCGAACAGCCCCTCATTCGCACCAGGGAAGAGCCCGCTCAGCCCAGAGCTCTTACCCTGTCCATCCTTCTCTCCATATTTAGCCCCGCTATTAGCCTCCACAGTCAACTTCTCCACGTCGCAGATCACGCGCGACGTGAACGTCTCGCTGAGCGGGCCGTAGCCAACAGTCAGGAACGCTTGTGTTGGGTATCCTGTTTCTGGATCGCGCGCTGTCACCGTCGAAGCAGTGAGGAAGGGGAGGAATTGGCTGTAGGATTCAACGGAGGAGATCACTTTGTATAGTAGGGCTGGGTTGTACGGGAGGTTGCGTGTGGCGGTCAGGACGCGGTGCGGGGAGGAGTTGTTTGGTAGGAAGGAGGATAGGTTGGGCAGGCCGAATGATCGTGTAGTGGTTTTTGTATTGTTGATTGGGAGTGGTTGGCGCAGACTTGGTCGTGTTGTGTTTATTGTCCTTGTTGTCTTGAGTTGGGAAGAGGGTGGGCACACATGGCGCTGGGAGGGGAGAGTTGGGCGACTTGGGAGTCGCAAGGTGCGGAAGGGGCGCATTGAGGGTGTTATAAAGATATACAGGGTTGAGTGTATGTTGTAGTTGTTCCTGGACAAAAAAAAAAGCTTTGGTTCCGCGGAGCGGGATCTGCAGCCGCCTCGGCACTTTGCATGTAGACTTTCAGAACATATAACATACAGATTCTACGATACGAAATATGAGAACACGGCGAATGTTCCTAGGTCTTTCGCACAGACTACAATCATAATTCATATCTGGTCGTTTGATTATACAATCCTTATTTATTGGATCTCAGCCTTCATGGCAACTACTTCTCCGGGTCCAATAATCTGCACCTTTGTGCTCTCGCCCTCCTCAAGGACAATCCGATACTCATCCCCAGCATATAATGGACTCGTCGCCCGATAAGTGATGCGCTCAGGAATAACCAGGGTAGAATCCGTGGAATTCTGGCGAGTATCACGCCAAAGATCCAGAATAGAGATCAAATTCAGCGGACCATGTACTACAACGTCCTTGTGTCCTTCTACATCCCGCGCCCAGGGCAGTGAGTAGTGAATCTTATGAGGGTTGAAGGTCAGCGCTGAGAAGCGAAAGAGTGACACAGGCGTTTGCATCAGGGTTCGTGTATGAGTATTGCCCTCCGTGGAAATTATGGACGTAGCATTCGGAGTCGCAAAATGGGATGTCGAAGACGAGGGAGGGGTGCTGGATGGTGTAGATGGAACAGGTAGAGCTTTACGGAATACCCAATTGCTATACGAAAGTTAGTACTTATGTTTGTGATGTTCTTGAGGAAAGTCGGACCGTCGGTCAATAATTGAAACGCCGTGCTCGTTGGCAAATTCTTTCTCGACTCCAACAACAATCATGTCCTCGCCTGTCTTTTTCACAACTTTGGCCTCGGCACTAAGTACCCGCGTTGTCTCTAGCACATCCTGTCCTACCCGTAACGGATTGGGTTTCCCATCCAGACGGGGCCACAGTACCTCGCCGCCTGCCCACATGCGTCGTGTGAAGGGCGCGTCGGGATTGTATGACGCATCAGTTCCGTCTATTCCTAGTTCGCTTTCCACGAATGCGGGTGTGAAATACGCGAGGTGATAGCCCGGTGGCACGGGTACAGCGGATTGCGGGGCGGGAGCGCCATTGGATAGGGAAGGGGCACCAGGGAAGAGAGTTGGGCGATTGAGGGTGAGGGTGAGAAGCTGGAGCTGGTTTGCGTCTATCGTTTGCGTACGGATTTGTGGCCCCAAGGATTGGAAGCGCGACAAGAAAGCCTCGGCTACCGAGGAAGCATCTGAGAAACGCTGGGAGATGGTGAAATTGCGGATTGCACTCGGTCGGACTTGCGGTATGCGCGGGCGAAGATATGCTAGTAATGACAGACTTGAAGACATGATGGAGTGTCGAATAGCAAAAAAATAAAAAATTAGAGGAAAAAGGGAAACATTGAAGCCAGTGGGGATCTCCAAATATATGCGGGGAAGCCGATTTCCGAGTCGGCTTTATACTTCCAAGATTAGCCGTACGGATGATCTTGTTCCTGCAGTTTCTCACAGGTGTGTATTATAGACACTTAAATATCGAAGTGAGCAACATGCGCTTAAGAGTATGAGAGACACATTTTTCATTATTTAACAACTAATACCTAGACGCAGCATGCTCATACATGTTCCTACATTTATTGAGTAAATCGATTAGGACAGAATTCTTTTAAGCATACAGAACTGTGTATCCACGGAACATCCTCTATTCCTCAAGTAATGCTTGGATTCCATTGTAGGCATGTAAAGCCCATAAAGCCCATAAAGCCCAAAGCCCAAAGCCCAAAGCTCAACCCAACCCACTAATGAGTTTGGTTTTGGGCCTATCTTCGGGCCCACTGGTGGGCTATGAGCCTTGGGTTGGGTTGGTCTTTAGACGTCGGGCCCATTTATGGGCTTTGCGGAGCTCTAAGGTACGCATATTTTGAGATTTCAGAAGTGGGCAAGCCTCCTGTAAACCTTGCCGACTTCATCGCCCATTTGTCTTGCGGCACGCTCATGTACAGACCGGTCATCCAGCATGGCTGCTCTTTTGGCTTGGGTGGCACTGACTTGTGCCAGCTCCTCGGTGGCCATTTCAACTGCATATAATTAGCAACGGTGTAAATATTTAGGTAGGATTCCGACTCACCATGGCAAAAAACGGCCGCCTTCTTCCCACTAGCCATGGCATGCGGGACATTGGTGCTATTATCGCTGTTGGCATCACCCACGCCCCATACTCCGGGAATAGTAGTCCGTAGACCAGGGGCCGTCGTGTTTATTTTCTTCCCCAAAAACCCAACTCCCAATTGGTACGGCAGCTGGGATGCCTGCGAAGCACCGTAGTTGACCATAAATGCGTCCCGCTCCTCGTAGCTCCCGTCTGTGAAGTAAACCAGGAACTTGTCGAATTCCTTCCTTGTCGAGTCGTGAACGTCACCCCCGTTTTGTGTTCGTGTGATATTTAAAATGGGCTTAGGGTTGACAGTAATGTTGTACTTGTTGAAAACTTTCTGCCAGTCTATGTTTTTACTGTTAATCCGGTTGATTTGAGCGGGGTTGTTGTTGGTGCCGTTCGCATAGATGCGAATGTCCTTGTTCAGAGTTGGGTATAATTCCTTCACGCTGTCGTACGCATCAGAGAAATCTCCCAAAACACCCATCTTCTGATCACGGTGCTCGAACCCATCACACCATGGACACCAGAACACGCCTTTGCCGAATGCCTCCCGGAGTCCTGGGACGTTGGGGAGGTCGTCCTTCACACCGCTGGCCAGGATGACCTTGCGTGCGGTGTAGGTGCCATTGGCGGTCGTAGCATGGAAAGAGTTTTCAACCTTTTGTATGCTTATGACCTTTTGGTCGAAGAAAGTCGTCATGTTATAGAAAGAGATTTGCTTTCGGGCAGCAGCTCGGAACTCAGCCGGAACGACATCTGGTTGGGAATGTTAATTAATTCCAAGAACAAGAACAGGTAAAGATACGTACGGTCACTTCCAATGACATCGTGCATATGTCGAGTGGGATTATTGCGATACTCTCCCGAGTCAAACAAGGCTACTTTTCTCAGGACGCGCGACAGTCCACTGGCTGCACTAAGACCAGAGGGACCCCCGCCAATCACGATGACATCGTAGTCTTGCTGGGGAGCCTGTGCCCAGACGAGTGTAAGAAGAGCCTGGACGGCGAAAAGCTTCTTCCAATTCCATGTGAGCAACATGACCGGTAGTAAGTATGTAGGGCTAGCTAGGTAGCTTCGAGGATCGAGGTGGATAGATAGCCGTATATGTATTGCGGGCAGTTGGATTATTGAAGAAACTGTTGCTTTATTTATTACTATCACCGAGATATCCGAACAGTGGCAGTTTGCATACCTGATACTTCTCTTCAGCGGGTTACATCCGGGAGCCCGGCTCGCTGCGTCAAGAAAAGTTTAACACATTACCGACAATATGGTAGATCTGTACCTGTCCCAGTTGGATGGCACCTTGTACAGTTGCATCTAACATCGCTGATCTGACCGCAATGATGTCACGAGGCGAACAGGTTGCTAGTTGAGTTGCTGCTACGTTCTGCGTAAATTCTTCTCATCCACAGTATAGGTTGGAATTTACACGTAATCCTGCCGTCGCAATAGGCTGCTAAAAGGGCTATACATAATGACATACAGGTTTGGCGACTGCGTTTCCCTCCCAATTATGGCTAGCTCCAGGACTAATTGGGCCCACATCGCGCAATAAGGTTATTTAAGCATATCTTGCCTGGCCATTGATAAGTTACGATGATGTCATTAGTTACTGGAGTTACTACAGAACATGAATAAATGCAAGTTCAAATGTATGATTGGCCTAGACGAAGCTCGGTTTCAGCGAAAAGTATCCCCCCCAACAACTGTCTTCATTTCTGTCAATGGTCTTGCAGTGTAAAACGTATTCAATCTGATAATGAGACTCGACAAGCGACTAAAGCTATTGTTGTTGGCCGTGGTACTCCACAATGAAGATTTGGAAACCATTTGTAACTGATTCCCTCTGGCCGAGGGTTCAAACTTTTAGCTGTAGCTGCTAGAGGAATTCGGGGCTAGGTGATCTGAGTTCCGAAGTCGCTATGCACCAACGAGTGCAAACAAACTACGCTCAATGAATGGTCATTCGAGCTTGCTATAAGCCCAATTCCAAGGCACGTACTACAGAAATGAACTAATCCCGACTCTTTTCTTTCTTTACTATCCGACAGTCCCTTATGAAGTTTTGACCTGGATTCTGTATTCAAGCGCCCACCAAGCATCCTCTTATTAGAAGCAGACTACCTTAGCGCCTTCGGGCTCACTTAGCTGAGTATCTAGAAAAAGCAGGAGAAGAGCATCGATCGGTTTTATTCCGTGCGTAATACGGGTCAAATACAAATTATTGCAGTTCTAGTTAACTGAAATTCTTACCTCAAACTTACACTCGCTGCGAGATGTTAAACTTGGCTTGTGGAATTCTAGGGTTAGCGATCATCATTTAGGAAATGTATGATCTAAATCCGATAACGCACTGGCTTGCGTCTCTTACCGGCGCATCCGATAAAAGAATGTTCGTACTCGTTAAGTTCATGGTATGCTTGCTCTGAAATATCCAACACCTGGTCTAGACGGCTAAAACATACACGAAGCGATTGCTTGGTTGGGAGATTCTATGTCCAGTTTTTGATCTCAAGGAGTCAAAACCAATTGCCTCTGGTCAAGGGACTAAATAAGAAGTAGGCTCCGGAAGCAATTTACGTCCTGCTTATTACTAAGGATCGACATTTTCGGCCCAGGAATCGAGCCCAGATGAATTTCAAGGGTATGAAAGAAGACGCCACTATGGTAGTAGACAATTGTGTTGCCTTGGACTAGTAGTTTACTGTAAGCACTTGCCGCTAAAAGCCAAAAAAAGAGCCAAAAACGGCCACGGGCATTTCAAAAGTATGTAAGCCCCGCATGGCCCCCGGTCATAAAGCTTGATATTCGCTCACTCCTGTTGAGTTTGTACAATACTGAGAATGTGCCAAGCATGTGTGGGATAATAAGTTTTGTGTACTGGAAAGTATGGATTTTTTGTCTGTCTAATTCTACTCAAATAGGCCTGGGTTGAAGCCCATATTTATGGACTTCACACCCCTGTAGATACACGGAGAGCAGAACACATGGAATGGACTCGACGACATAAGAATGAAATTGATCAAGGTGGGAAGCATTCGGCAACGGGAGTGCGAGTACAGGAATAGACCGATTCATGGTACAACTGACACGTAGAAAATTTGAAATAAGAATACAACTGCTGCTTCGAAGAAGCAACTGTGGTCTCGGTTGTGTGCAGGATTTCGAGTATTGAATCAATTGCGCTAGCCCTAATTGCGTAGCAGCTAGCATCCTTGACATGCAAGAACACTCGATATCAAATGAGGTTTAGCGTTGAAAGGAACCCATGTTAATTACTGTTAATTACACACTGTGACTAGGATTCTCAACAACTCCCACATTGTCAAATATAAAAGTATGTCTGATCATACGATCCTGAAATACAAAAGCCAGGGCTAGAAGGCCTTAATGGATCCTTATCCATTGTATGCATACATGTCTTAGAAAATCGCTCACGTAGAAAAGGAACAAGATGGTAGCGCTCCACTAAGGTCTCTGTCCGAAATAGGTACTGATCTGATAATGGCCAATAAAACGATCGTGGCAGGATGTGGTCACTGCGTATTGGACCCATCCATGACTCACGTTGCAGCTATACCAGACGAAGAAGGATAGTAGCATTGCAGATGGTCAAATATCTAAGTGTCTATGGATGGCTAGACTAGCTAGTTGGCTTGATTAAATGGCTCAATTAAATATAAAAAGGACCTCTTGACTTATTCTCTCTATCTTTCGCTTTGCAACTCACACCATGAAATCCATTTCCACCTCCCTCGTCTTGGTCCTGTGCTTCTTGACCACCATGATTGAAGGTCTCACCCGTTACCAAACCACACCCCCAAGCGACGCCATCGTCTGCCATGACAGACAAGCTCTTAACGACCTGGCCAAGGCCTACCCGGACGGGCTTCTTCACCCCGAGAACGGAGGCTACTACCTGAAGGATGGGGATGAAGTCGTCGTTGGCATTGCCAGCGACGATCTTTGCAAGGAGCTGGACGGTGCATTCGCTAGCGTCGATGCAAAAATTGCCGAAGAAGCTGAAAGCGCTGGACCCGAAGATAATATTTCTGATGCTGAAAATGTCAAGAGAGATGTACTTGCCCTACATAACTCATGCAGCCACCCTCGCTGCTTCAATCACGCCCATTGCCTGACCTACTCGCACTGCCATGTATGCTCTTCCCGCAAGCGTTGTCTTTAGAGTATCCTGCAATTTTGATAGTGGGAATGTTGGAGAGATTTACGAAGGCTTACAGAGATTTGGTTGGATAGTGAAAGTGGGGGAGGTGGTCTGGGGGTATAGCGGCCTCTGGTTAGTTTCAATTAAGATGCGAATTTTGGCCTGATTCTTGCCTTGCTTTATTTAGATTCAACAGAAAATTAAGATACCTGAAATACCATTACAGAGCCTATATAAAGCTAGCGTAGGGGGGAAATCATCAGTTATTAAGAGGAGTCTCGGCGAACGAGATACTCAGGTTGACGAGCAATCCTCTGGTCAAGATTCCATCTGGAAAGATGTGTACCGTACCGTCAATAATTGGGTCGATGAGTAGTGCCCTAATTTAACGCCTGTACACGGTGAACTCCATGACTAGAAAAATCACGTAGGCAGCGAGAAGTACTAAGCCAGCAATTCGGTGGGGTCCCAGAAAGACGACCGCCAGAAGGGACACCGAAGACACCCAAACTGTGACCAGATCAAACAGAACAAAGGTGTCTGACCGATCGAGGGATCCCGCCACCGCAACAATACCGACACATAGCGTTAGCAGGAAGATATTGCTCCCTGCTGTGGTAGCAACGATTATGCCTCCTTGTCCACGAAAGCCGCTGAGCATAGCAATCAACTTCTCTGGCAGGGTCGTGGCAAAAGCGATCACGGTCAATCCAAAGACAGTTCCTGATAGATGGAGACAATCCGCGATGGTACCTGCGCTGTGGGCAAGGATGTATCCCGACAACGAGAGGGTGAGCAGCCCAAAAATAAGCTGGAGTACATGATGATAAAGTGGTCGCGGAAGCTTTTTGCCCTTATTTACGGATGCACTCGCCGTTTCCCGGTTCGTATCTCCTAATAGAGGAGAAGTCTCTAAAGCTGGCGGTCCGGCACTTTGTACTGGTGTTTGTTCAGCACAAACATCGGTAGATTCATCATCGCTTTCACTGTCCGATAGTTGAGGTGGTTCACTGATACCTCTATAGATGGCATAGCCAATAGAGATGATATAGAGTGCGAAGAGAGCGATGAGAAGCCCGCCGGTAACTCTATTTAGTTGCTGGAAATATGCCAAGATAACGACAAGGGTAGTGACGAAGAATTGGAGTGCAGAGTAAATCTTCGCACTACTATCAAAAGGATCACCGCCCGGATAACAAACAAGCCCCAGCGAAAAGGCACCGAGGATGTTGGAAATTGCAGATCCCATAACATTGCCCAGGGCTAAAGGAGTGCGGCCTTGCAGGATTGCAGCGATAACAACAGCGAGCTAGGGAGACCTTATTAGCACCGGCCAGAGGATGGAGCTCAAAATAATATACCTCTTCATATTCAGCTCCAGCAGTCAAAAGGGCAATAAGAGTCGGTGAGATGCCTAGTCGCTGTCCTACGATCACAGTGTGGTCGATGAATTTGTCTGCACCATAGTCAAGTACAAAGACCCCGGCAATCAACGCTGCCGTGCTAAAAAATAGACTGTCCCAGTCCATTGCATAGATGTCGGTATGTTTAGTTCTGCAAAGTCGTTATTCCAGGGAAGATTTATGGAGTGCTTGGACATAGTTGTAAGGCGGAACAAGTTTGATCCGCGACATTGTAGTGGATCTGGTCTCGATCCACCCTGTACAACTACAGCCACCGAAGAACCGCGCGAAGTTTCGAGACGCACGCACTGTAACTCCGTTGACTCATAGGCAGAGTTTAAACTGTATTCAAATACTTAGCGCCCCTTTTTCGTTTCACGGGATCGTGCAAATTTTCAAGAAGTTACAAAAACGTCGGGAAATGCCACTAAAAAGGTGAATGATGGACGAGAAAGAAATCGAGACAGAGCGCGTCCTTCGAAATGCGGGCTGGCGACCTGGACGCAAGATCGATACCAGTGCATGGCGGGATCAGCTGGAGATGTTAGGATTCGTCTGGACTGAAGCGGCAGAGCACTTCCTCTCAGAATTTGGAGGGCTGGTCATCGATCACTGTGGCCCGGGGATTACTTGCGCTCGTTCACCCTTTGAATTAGACCCTCTTCTCGCCGAGGGCGAGGATGACAGATTTGCGGAGTGGGCCACGGTACTTGGCGAGCCTCTCTCTCCAATCGGGCAACTCGATCATGGGCGATTCTTTCTGGGTATCTCTGGGTCTGGCGATATTTACCTTGTGGAAACTTGGCTAGCCTCCTTCGGGTCCGGACAGGAAGCCCTTAAGGCCCTGGTTCTTGGAATAGCTCCACGAGAGATTGATGAGCACGATCTCGAAACGTAACTGCACAGACTCTTTCGTGGCCCTACCGCCAAGACCTTGGCGTTAGTGCGACATCAAGTTGCGGCTGTAATCTGTCCCTTAGCCTGTACTGTAACTGTGCACATGTAAATGAACTGCATGATCTCTCCAACCTCATCCTGTTCCTGAGAAAATATTCCACCACTTCAAAATTGGACACTCCAAATCTGCTCTTTGGAAGCTGTTTGTTGTTTTGGGACCTTTCTAAATCATAGAACTGCCAAGGAAAGTTTGTTTACAAGATCGACTAAACACGTGTCATGGAGGTTGAGCTAAGCTCAACTTTTTGAAGGAAGGCTCGGATTTTCCCAATCTCCTGGCTTTTGAGAATTACTCTTTGTTCCTTCACAGAAAGTTAAGAATCATAATTTCAGGATAAGCTGCAATGCATATGCTTGCAAAAGTTGCTGGCGGCGAAGTTGACGAGTATTACGATGTTCTCCAGGCATTTTTTGCTGAAGGAGCCGACGGTTCGGGCTTAGTGATGACGTTCCAGCGGCAGCTCTCTGTAGAGCCGTGGAATGGCGATCCTTCAACAGACGACTATTTCAACAACAGTTATTGTATGACCCTCGGATCTGAAGTGACGATATATGGAGGGCTAGAGCAGGTCTCCTTTCTGGACTCCAGAGGATGCTTTTATTTCTCCGATCATGCGGCTACAGAGCTCGGTATAGGAAGACAACTGATCGTTGATTTCAAGGTGTCTGAGCACCTCCTACAGCTCTTTCAACGGTTTCTCAGGCAAGCAGTGACATGGGGAGTCCCTAGTCAGATCCCTCAAACCAACGGTTTAGCCTTCGAAAGTTCCATTATGGATGCTCCAACCACTCAGCCAAAGCCAGATGAAGGAATTAAGGCCCCCAATCTCAGAGGCGGTCACCTCAAACTCAGGTTTATGTCCCAAGAGCAACTGGATCGTGAAGACGGAAACCCTCCTGATAATGTGGCCGGTTCAAGCGAACCGTCCCCCGAGGAAAGTGCATATCTTTCCAACTTGACTCCTTTCCAACAGAAGATATGCGGTTGCCTCCACGATTTGGGCTGGATTGATACCGACATTTGCAAATTTCTGATCCAGTTTGAGAACGGGCGAGAACACGTACGGGCTGAACTAAGAATGAAGGGGCAGAGTGAGACCGACATTCAAAAGCTCGAGGATGTCTGTGAGACAGATATGGAGGATTTCTCGCACCTCCGACGGTCTGGCGGCAACCGGGCCCTTGAGCAATACCGGTCTGAGCTATACCTGCTGCATGAAAACAAGAGACAAAGAAGGGTTATGCTAAATGAAGAATAATTTCTTCGTCCCTTTTTTGTTTGATCACGAGGCTCACTGGAAGATACGTATGACCTCCATGAACGCAATGCTCCTGGTCTTCCAATTTATAATGTGTGTGAAGGGGCATAGAAGCACTCTAATGCCCGATTTTGGAGAGTTGGTGATACAAATTCTCATATTTATCAAATCCCAGGCATTGACGCCTTTAGACTGTACAAATTGCGACTTTGAAGCTATTCATACCATACAAACCCTCAAATCCACCCAAATCCACGGGTTGATCTTGACCCCTATAAAGATAAGATCCGGTCTTTCTCAAAATGCCATACAGCCAGCTGTTCGAACACTCTAGACAAGTACAATCTTATCATTAGCGACCTTTTAAAATAGTAGGTTACCTTATGAAGAAACTAATATCCGGGCTCGGTGTTTTAGGGCTATGGGCGGTCAAGGGGCTGGACATCCCAAGCTACGGGCGGAAAGACAGCCGTTTCCGGCGTCAAAGATGGTCATTTTCGTCAATTTCACAGGTCCTCATATTCTAATAAAATCCCAAAATGAATGAACTGAAAATAGTAAATGAAAAATGCTCTAGGTATTACTCAGCCTAGAGATAGGCTTTAAGACGGCCAGATGTGATAGCCTCAAAAATGTGAGATTAATAATTCGGCATCTTTTCGGTCTTTTCGGGATAAACTGGCGACGTTCAGGGGATATGCAGGGGTATCCCTGTAGTCTTTTAAATTCTACGGATTATTAACATTCTGATTATCAAGCTCTTCAGATAACGACATTGAAACAAAGAATATAAATACCTGTAGACCAGGCCAAGATTGTTTTTAGGCATTCACAATAACCATTCCATCAATCCTCCAACTATCAACCATCTACCATGTCTAACATCGAAATCATATGGGGCGGGGCCTCACTCATGGACGAAGTCGCATATCCGACTCTCGAATCAATCAACGAGATCCTCGACATTCTACAAGCCAATGGCATCAACCACATCGATACAGCCAAGTACTACAGTAACTCCGAGGAGCTATTAGGAAAACTGCATGCCGAATCCCGCTTCACCATTGATTCAAAATATCCCGGCGGCTTTGCATCAGAGCCTTCCACCCCAAAATCCTTCAATGCAAACCTGGAGCGGAGTTTGTCCCTTCTTCAAACCGACCAGGTCAGCTCCCCACAGTCCAAGACCTACCCAAATCCCTAACACCATTTCCAGCTCGATATCTACTACATGCATGCGCCCGAGCGCAGAAGCTCCATGGAAGTCCTGCTGGGTGCTATCGACGCAGCCCACAAGGCGGGAAAATTCAAGCGATTCGGACTATCCAACTATCTGGCCGATGAGGTCGAAGATGTAGTTCGCATTTGTCGCGAAAAGAATTACATCATGCCCAGTGTTTACCAGGGGAACTATTCTGCCGTTGCACGCCGGGGAGAAAAAGAAATCTTGCCTACGCTGCGGAAACACAATATCGCCTTCTATGCTTACTCGCCCATCGCTGGAGGATTCTTGACTAAGGATGTTGCGACGCTTGTTTCTGGCGGCGAGGGGCGATGGGATCCTAAGACCCCACTTGGTGGAGTTTACAACGCGCTTTTCAATAAGCCGCATATGCTGAAGGGATTGGGACAATGGAACACGATTGCTAAGGAGTCTGGGATCTCTAAGGCCGAGTTGGCATATCGGTGGGTGATGCATAACTCGGCTCTCAACGGTGAATTCGGAGATGCTGTGATTATTGGCTCGCGGAATGTTGAGCAGCTCAATCAGACGCTTGTTATATTGAGCAAGGGTCCTCTCAGTGTGGAACTCGCAGCCAAGATTGATCAGGTGTGGGATATTGTCGAGGCTGATTCGCCTTTGGATACCTTTAACGGTTTCTCAATGTATGACAAGAAGGTCTGAGGTCTAGGGAGACAAGTGAAGGAAATTTGTAATTAATCTTTAATACTTAGAAAAAAGTCTGCTTTCCACCAAGATACTTCAGATACTACTTTGTAGAGCATGTACAACATGGAGATATCAAAGAAGAGTTAAGTTATGGGAAGTGGGGTGGTGGGGGTGTGGATAGCTTCAAAGAGGATCCCAAAGAGGCAATCTTAGAGAGATTACTGATTGTAAATACTACCCTGCGTTTTCAAAGAGTCAATTTTGACGGACACTACAAAGATATTTAGATATACAATTCAAGTGTTATAAGAATCACCGGCTGCGTATACCTTGTGTAGTCTTTCTGGTAGTCTTTCTACTAGTCTTTTTACATAGTATTCTTAGACGTTTTTTGTCTTTCAAGATATTTTCTCAACCTAGCACGTTCATATTTTTACATACACAACCATCTAGCCTCCTATCGTTATAAACTTCTTTATTGTACAGCACTTGTTCTAAAGACAACTCATCTCGGGTTGGTCGATGACTTCTTTTCAAAGTCTACCACAGACACAGATTAGGTAAATGGTAGGCTTGGGGCAATCCTCACTTCAGAGGCACCAGTAAGCTCTTTGATATCGTTGAAAATGTCAAATATGCACGATACTGACGCTGTTTCCAGTCGCATATTACCAGCGTTTAACATTCCAAAGACCTCGCCGCGGGCCGTATATACCCACGAGCCAGAATCTCCTGTCTCTGAAAATGCCTCGCCAATGGAACTACGCGAAACTGAGTGCTCCCACGTAGGGAGTATATAGGATCCTCCATTTGCCTTTCTCGCCCGAGAAATATTTACCGACTTGAGGCCGTTGTACTGCCTGCGAGTAGTTCCGATTGAGCGTCCTGTCTTGTAGAGCTCCATCCCAGGATAAACCTTCAGCTGAGGGTTCAAGAGAAATTGTGGGGATGCAGTTGCATCAGAGTCGAAGGGCTAAAAGGATCATGCATTAGCTATCGAACAATCTTTGAATAATCATATCGTACCTGATTACAAGGAATATCGCCATCATGTATCTCTGTTTGAAGTCGGTCGGGAGTGATATTAATCAACGCCCAGTCCATTCTGACAGCATCCTCTGCATTAGTCCCTCGGGTCCGGTACAGGCCGCTTCCAGCAGCAACGTACCCAAGGAAGTAAGTTCCATTGTCGCGCATCGTCGCAAAGGGTTGACGCGCAGCTTCAAGGATTCTGAGATGGCTGGCCATTCCCTCATAAAGTCTGACGGCGGAATCTGGCATCCATTCGTCCTGGCCCTCGTCAATTGCTTTTTTAGCAGCTTCCAACTCGAGAAAGTCCTTGGTTCTGTATGCCGTGATGTTTTTGTCTATTGCGGCGATAGTCTGTTCAATATCTCCCAAAGATGGCTGGTCAACTTTTAATATCTTCTGCGCGATCCTAGAAGGTGGGTTTGTGAGTTTGAGCGGGCCATATTCCCACTGTGAAAGTGCTATAATCCCTATATTAGCAAGAGATTCATATACAGAAAGACTTCACTTACCATCTTCTGCTCCTCGGATTTTCAACAGTTGTTCAGAGCGCGTCCCTTCCGGAGGCCAAACGGCGTGAAAGCAGGTTAGCCCATATGTGTGCCACCGTGATATGTTAGGAAGCCGGATTTGCACAAGACCACCCAGTGTGCATGTTCTCGCCGAACTATCGTGGATACCTAGGCTGACACCAGAATAGACGGCTCCACGACACGCCTTGGGGTGTGCAATTTTTGTTTCTTCTACTGGGGCTTGTTTTCCATCCTTCATGAACAAAATATCAACGTTAGGTTCATGAAATTGCTCAAGTAGGCCTCGGATGGTTTGGGCTGCGGTATAAAATGACTCTGTGGAAGTCTTAAGAACCTCCACTATAATCGTAACGGGGTTTAGGTGTCTATCACAATTGCTCCCATAGCGCCAACATTGCAAACTAGTCCACTCCTGGATATTCAGGTTCGATAGAATATACTTGGCGATTGTTTCCCATTTGGAATAGATGGAGTGGGTCTGCTCAACTGGGAAGCAATATAAGCCGTTATATAATTTCTCTTCAATAATTTCAACGGATATTCCATGTAGCCAGGGATCCAAATCGCGATGAATCTTCCTCACAGCCTTATACCAAAGATCAGGCTGCGGGACGTCTGGCACAATGATGACGACGGTGGGGATTGGCGTAGGCTCAGGGTCAACTTTTGATATGCGGCCCTTCAGAGCCACAGCGGAGAACTCGACTTTGAGGTCACCCAAGATTTCTCTCGCACGCGCCTGGATTCGTGCTGGATTGTTCGTAGACGTGTCCTCCGTAGTCCACGCCGGGAGAGAAGTTAGGACCGGCCCACCAGCACGATGGGAGGACTTGAGGAAACCGTGGCGATCAACATGTAATAACCCACTGAACGGAGAAGAAATAGATGAGGCGGAAGAGAAGCTGAGTGCATGTGTACTGGCCCTACTAAAGGTTGATGATATGATTGATGATGCAGACGACATTATGAAGGTGCCTGGAGGTAAGAGTTAAGTCAGATTTGATAAAGAGTAGAAGTCAACACAGAGTGATGAAGAGAGTTAAATAGAGTGACAAAAAAAAAGCGAAGCACTATTTCATAGATTGGTATGAATGTCCGATGCCTAAAGGGGAGTGGCTTGTCCACGGGTCTATTCAATTCGGCGCAACCTTAAGAGTCACAGCCCTACCCTCTCTTGCATAGAACATTGTGTTTCCCAGGATTTTCATGACGAATAGAGACTACAAAAAGCGCGTAACCTTCAAACATTCGATGTCAATGTGGGCTCGCTCAGCTGCATTAAGCATATGCCAGATATCACAGAGTGGATTCCTCTTCCGATAATCTATAATAATCACGTAAACCGTAGCGATCGACATGTGAAGACCGGCTAAACGGATGAAACAGAAGGGGCGGAAGAGAAGTTAGGTGTATGCGCGCTGGCTCTGCTGAAGGTCGAGGTTATGTGTGATGATGTAGAAGACACTATGAAGGTACCTGGAGGCTGTCGTAGATCCGAACAAGACAAGTTAATGAAGTGTTGTGTTCCGCAGGAACAATCGTGTCTCGGTCGAATGCAACAATGAGCTTTGTCCCTTGACTCGATGCAGTAGAGCAAGCATCGAAGATGTAACATACTGAACCAGCATACATCTCAAGGTTTCCCCGTATAGCCCACCAGTCCACCATAGGGGAATTGGGGCTAAGGTCCCCACTATAGCATATTAGTATATAAGTTATACTGTAAAAGGGGTGTTAAGTGTAGACTAGAGTAATTACTCACATCAGGGTCCATGAGGAAGAAAAGATGAGAAAACAAGAATCAAGGTAGAGTGATGGGGAGAGTTAACGTAGAGTGAAGAGGACTTCTTTGGAGATTGACAAGTCCGGTGCCTCAAAAAGGGAGTGGCAAGTCCACATGGGTCTAGGTTGTGCCTTCTAAGGTAACTTGGTCGACCTTTATGTGCCTTGATGAGATCATAATTTTAGTTGAATTCGATCTTCACCGCAGTTAGCGATTTGGATGTCTTTTGGGGTGTCTTTTGGGGTGTCTTCTTGGTTGTCTTCGAGAATAACTTTTGGGATATCTCCATGGATGTCTTCTTTGGGTGAGACTAGAGAACATCAGGAAACTACACTCGTTGTTCAACCGCTCTATACAACTGTCCGAATAGGCCCTACGTATCGTGTAAACTTCAGTGCAGCGAAATCAGGCCAACCCCAATGGGCGTATATAAGTTGATGAATTGAGGCTGAGGGTATCTTAAGGGGAAGTAACGCGGGGATAACGTCATGGGACCGAAAAGTGATAAACATGGGCAAAGAAGACACACAAAACCGAGATGAGTCGAAGGAAAGCAGATCAAAGTCGAACCTGACCACCAGTCAACCGTTCCCAATCCCTCTGTCCGAAGGGAACATAGGTATTACCCTGGAGCCAGTATAGTCTATCCTTCTTCGACACAAGAGCCGGATCCACGCCTTCAGTACGAAGGACATGCTTCTGCTGCTTATTATTTCCAGTTGACTGTGTCATAGGCGTAACCCGCAAGAATAGCGGAGCTGCGAACCGGGGCAGGTTCTTGAGAGTGTGTGCAGCGAGAGTATCAAGCACCTCACGCGAGGGCTCCAGTGCGGAATCAGAGAGGTTTCCGTTTGCTACCTGCTGGTGGAAGAGGATAGCTGCACATCCGGCACGGCCGTCATGATTAGGAAGAGTGACGCCGTAAACATTGGCTTCGTGCACTTCAGGATGCGAGCCAAGAACCTCGGAAACCTCGCTAGTAGAGACATTCTCGCTCTTCCATCGGAAGGTATCACCCAGTCGATCCGAGAAGTACCAGCGGCCGTCTTTGTCCCATCGAACCATGTCACCGGTCCGGAAATAGGCATCGCCCTTCTTGATTACATCACGGATAATCTTGCCTTCTGTTGCTTTCTTGTTGCCGAAGTAGCCTTGGAAATTGGCAGTGGGATCCGCTGCATCGATAGCAAACAGCAACTCACCGGGATCACCCCGGGGGACACTCTTGCAGAGACCAGTCTTGGGATCACGCCACGGTTCCTCGGTGTCGTGATCGACATCCACAATGGCAGAGCTACGGCCAAGGATAATATTTCCTAAGGCACCGTTTCGGCCGATGGCACCTGCGGAGAAGTCATTTGACGAGATGTTCCATGCGCCCGCAGTGCCTTCAGTAGCTGCGTAGAACTCGGCGATTGTGGGGATGTTAAAGCGCTCCTTGAAGCGGTTCCAGATATCAGGACGCAACCCATTTCCAAATGCTAGACGGATATTGTGTTTCTTATCAAGATCCTCGCCAGTGACTGGGTCAGTCTCAGGTGCTACGCCCAACAAATAACGTAGCGTCTCGCCCACATATTGGATAATTGTCGCATCGTTCTCGCGAGCCTCCTTGATGAAGCTGCGCGCAGAGAACCGGCGGCCAACAATCAGGGTGCATCCACCCATCAAGCAGGTTATAAACCCAAGCACCGTAGCGGAACTATGGTAAAGAGGCATGCACTAGTCAAGAGATTAGCACGGACAGTAACATTTGTAAATTTGATAGACCTTACCGTGAAGAACCTATCAGAGGAAGTAATGTTCAACCAATCTCTAACGAATAAACTACCAGACCAGCATTTCTTCCAGCTGACAATAGCGGGTTTAGGAAGCCCGGTGGTGCCACTTGTGTAAATCAGAATGGCCATATCACGAGGGATCGCGCCACTGCGGGCCTTGTCATCCTCTCGCGTAGGCTCCATACTAAAAACCTGCGCCTCCACCTCCGGGGTATGGAACACGATTTCGACCGGCCCCTTGCCATCGCGGAAGCTCGGGGATGTCAAAATCTTCTCCTGCTCCGCCGGGAAGCAGTGGCGAACTTCTTCATCCACCACTAAGAGCCTCGCAGTGGACGTTCGAATAGAGTGGGTGAGCGGTTTACCAGACAAATTGTAGTTGATGAATGCAGGGACTGCTCCAATACTCCACAGTCCCAGCACCATGAAGATGAAGGTGGAGGAGTTCATGAAGTCGATCGCGACGATCTCCTTGCGCTTAATGCCATGAACGTTCTTAAACCACGCTCCATAGCGAAGAACTATGATGTAGGCTTCGTGGAATGTCGTTGTTTGTCCATTGTACACAATAAACTCGTTGTCGGCCGTTTTAGGATCGAGCGCATAGGCTTCAAGTACGTAGAAGAGGTTTAATCGGTCACCACGTTCTGCGATGCGAGACCTCACGGACATCTTGAATAGCCCCTTGATAAGGTTCAAATCGTAGGAAACCGACCATCTTGCGTTAAGATATGCAAGCGTGGTTGCCGCAGCAGGCAGTGCGAGACTCAAGGGAATATCTGCCCAAAGAGATAAATTGTTAGCCATGTCATACACTGTACAGCCCTGCCGTATGTTATAACCTACCTGGTAAAGATGGCAGGGGCATTATGTTCAATAAGATTTGGGGATCAAGCCCTGAGTATGGCCAAGTTGTATGATATGGGGGTAGACGATGAAATCGCCCCTTGTGTGACGGTGTGACAGCTTTGGGGGGAGAGAAAGAACAAAAAACGTGCTATATGGGCACGTTGACTGGTACCTCGGTTTCACTGCCTAGTCTTAGTGAATCAAGGGCAATAAAGGCTGACTCCAGCGAGGTCCGTGGGATTAAAATAGAAAAAGAGCAAAATGTGCCTCGGCACGGGAACGGATTCCCCTGACGACATGCAACACAAGGTTGAATACGCAAGTACACGGAACAAAAGGAAATTAATAGATTCTATTTAATTTAATAATAATATATAGAATGATATATCAAGTATACTAATTCTAACTATCTATACTTTCACATGGGGCTCGGCTTTTAATCTTAGAAGGATCGTCACCCCGCACTTTTTACTGTGAAAGTCACCCCTGTTCTTAGCGTATAGATCCACATATGTTGTAGTACCTAGTACTATTTCAATTGACAGCTAACTACGGAATAGCTAACATAAAATTGGCATATGTCCATAATATAGTATCACTTTTTTAAGGGCTTCTTCACTGGGACATCCTCATACTCATCTTCCATAAACTTGCCCAATGCATCCAAGCCCTTCTCCAGGACCTCGGTTTCATTGACATACCCAATGCGAACATAACCCTTGAAATCTTCTCCAAGACCAAAGCAAAGGCTTCCTGGAACAAGCATCACACCAGTCCGTTCCTGAACCATCTCACAGAAAGCGACATCATCTACGGGTTTTCCCATCTTGTTAAACCGCACAAATGCAGTGCTACCAGCTTGCGGCTTAACCCATTCACACGCCCAGCGATGGGCATCGATGAATTTCTCTAGGATAGAGAGATTGATCCGAGCTAGATCGAGGTTTCGCTTTAGAAGATTGTGGATGCAATCTGGTGCTAGGGCAAAACTGGCAATTGCCTCGTCAATTTGACCGACCGAGATAGTTGTATAGTCGCGCGCATTAGCAATAGATTCGATAATAGAACTATCGCGCGATGCAACCCAGCCGACTCGCAGACCCGCCAAGCTATATGCTTTGGAAACGGATCCTGTCACCACGGTGCGTTCGTATCCCATGGAAAGAAGTGTAGGTGGGAATCTCGGGTCCGCGGGACTGATGTTGTGGAAAAGTGGACGATAGACCTCATCGGAGTGGATGATGATGGATTTCTCGCGGGCAATATCGACCAATTGTTGGAGTGTCTGGCGCGGAATGATGGCTCCAGTTGGGTTTTGCGGGTTGCTATGACGAGCATGATAGTTAGAAAAGAGCGTGCACCTTATTATTGTTACAAGAATCAGACAACAGACATACTTTATAATGATCAACTTCGTGTTAGGACGGATAAGGCCTTTCAGCTCTTCAATGTCCAGCTGCCATCCATCGGCCTCTTTGGACTTCCACAGGCTGACTTCCGCCCCCACGGATGCGGGTACAGAAAACAGTTGCTGATATGTTGGATAATGGC